TCCTTCTTTATATCTTCAATACTTTTTCCAGAGCTGACCTGAAAATCTCAAATAAATGATGCATAAACAAAAAACGCACAAGCATTTCTTTGGATGTCATTATCACAATAATGTGTATTGGGCAAAGAAAACATGTGAATCATATCACATAATTTACTGCATTCGAAGTGTCTTAACAACCTGAGAAAAGGCAATAGTTCAAGCTATTGGCTCCTTCAGACAGACTTCAGGTGATGTGAGTTCTTAAAATTCAACGTGCAATACTCAAGTTTACTTGTGTACAGCAAACAGTATACTTGAACCAAAAATAGATAAATAGTGTTCTATAAATAGATCAAATAATATTTGATCTGACGAGAAAAATATCACCTCACAAAGTTTCAAAGGGTAACAAAAACATTCTAATATCTGGAATCAACAAGGTAATTCTTCATCACAAAGTAAATGTGCTGGTCTGATAATCTAGCATTTTCTCTATCTTGTTGGAAACTTTATGTTCAAAACTTTCAGACAGTATACTCAACATAAATGGAGATAAAAATCATGTTCCTTCCCTAAGCTCCCGTTAACTGTCATATTTTCGTTTCTTTTCTCCATTCATCCATTCTAGCCACACACCCAGCAAAATAAATTCCTTATCAATATATTCTGGTAGTATCAGAATAGGACATTCTTTTTGTTAGTAGCAGACTAGCAGTAAGAGATAGGCATGCCAAATATACATTTTCAAGGCATTTATTTTCTTACTAGTACTGGATTTTTTAAAATTAAATAATTAACAGTTGTCACTGATAGTCACTTAAATTAGTGGACTTCTCAAGTTTCATGCATTCGGGTTTCCTACAACAATCCAATTTTTGTCGAACTTCCCATTTTTGGAAGCCTCACATCCTAGGCATGACGCCATGTGTTTACATTTGAAATAGATACTATTATCATCCTCAGTTACAAGAATGAGAAAATTATCTTCAAAATAATCTAAGCAAAGGGAAATCACAGCTTATCAGGAAAACATTAGTTTTCTTCCTGAATAAATTGCTCAAAGGCCATAAGATTTTGAACTTTTTCGCAACTTACCATCAACTTATTTTTAGTGACATCTTCTCCTACGAGCTTATCAAGCACTTATAACTTACTCTTCCTTCCAATTAATCTTTTAAAAAGAGGTCAGGCAAGTCAAAGCAAAAAAAGAGGAGGAGAAAAAATGAAACTTTTAAAAAAAATTCTCCCTCTTGGCTCTCATTTCTTCATTTTCATTCTTTTTCTTAATCTGTTTTTCTTAACCACTCATTTCTTACTAAACCAAGATATAACTTGCAATCCTTTTTAGAAGTTTAATGGGAAAGGTTCCCCCCCCCCCCCAAAAAATAGTTCGACAGACGAGTTGTCAACGTGTGAAAAGTTTAGCAGCCTAGTGTGAACTTTAGTGATTTATCTTTTCTCTTATATATTCAGCAATAGAATTTCTTAGGGGACATAGATGCTTCAAAATGGTGAAATTTTTAGTTTACTTCTGGAAAGAGTACAATAGTTCATCCTTGTACAGCCTACCTTTCGATATGGCCACCTCACCAGACCATTTTCATAGCATATTTTCTTGAGAACACTTGCACAAACACCTAGAAGATAAATGCCAATTAGCTCAAAAAGTTCTGATTTACTTGTAATAATATGTAAGAGAGAAACTGGTAAACATTGCACAAAACGGAGTTGATAACAGTTCAAAAGAAGAAGTGATCAACATAACAGTTGAAAAGTAGTATGATCAACTATACTTTCCTTATTCTTCAAGGAAAAAGTTATATGGTCAAGTCATGAAGTATATAATATAAAAATTGTCATTTATGAATGAAACATACTACAGTGAGACAGGTGGGAAGAAGAAACAGCTAAACAACACCAACAAGCAGTTCAAGATTTTATGAATAATTACAATAGTAATAGATCTGTACGATTTGTAATGCAGGTTTTGAGGGACTAAGTTACTTGCTCATAATTGTCAGTCTATTTCACCCTTGGAGAAACTTGATTCCTCATTTGGAACTGATCAAGCAGAAAATCAAAATTTCTAGTGCAAATAAACACAGTGCGAGTCATCTACTTTCCAGTGTGATAACATTATTCAGACAATATGTTCCCTCTGGAAAGTGATTTGGAGGGTTCGTAACATCATGTCATTGTGAAAAAGCATACTCCCTCTGTTTCAAAAAGAATGACCTTCTTTCCGTTTTAGTTTGTTTAAAAAAAATGACCTCTTTCCTTTTTTGGTAACATTTTAATTTCAGCTTTCCACGTGGCATGTTTAAAGCCACAAGATTGAAGAACAATTTAGTACATTTGACATAACTTTAATTTAGGACCACAAGATTCAAAAGTCTTCATTATTTTCTAAAACTCCGTGCCAAGTCAAACCAGGTCACTCTTTTTGAAACGGAGGGAGTATTATATAAGAAATATCATGCAGATCAAACTTCTTGAGTAGAAGGAAATATAGTCTCGATACTTCGACAAGAGGTCTTAGCTTAGTTGTTCAAATGACTATACCTCTAACCAGTCGAGAGACACTACGATAGGTAGAGAACAACAGTTGCTCTCCTAGCGGTGGGGTGGGTAACAAAATGCTTTATATTCCTGATACCTCATTCTAATCCAAAATCCACTGTCCCAGCTTCCATATCTATATATTTTACGGGTGCTGCTCAATTTATCACGGAGGAGGTCTTAGTAAAGGCTTAAAATCATATCTTTTTTGGGGTTGCAGGAATTCACTGATGCAGTCATACTCGAGCATCCTATGAACTTCAGGAAGAATTATTCCAGATTTCTTCTATTTCTCTATATCTAGATTTAACAAGACCAATCAGGAGATCAATGTGCTCAAACTAAAGAAACATAAAAAAACAGTGTTCCCCTTCTATTTTCTCAAAGAACAATATACATTGCAACTATGACCTAGTGGTTAATGAAGTGGTTGAGTGTCCATGAGGTCTCATGTTCGGATCCCAGCAAAGACAAAAACACTAGGTGATTCTTCCTAGCCTTGGTAGATAGAGTTGGATAGAGTTGCCTGCTACGTGTTGCTGGTGGAAGGTGGCAGGTCGAAAGCGCGGTCATAAAAAAATAAAAGAATCTACATTGCAATTAGAGATATTCCTAAATTCAATTACTTCCCAAGACCATTACCAACAATATTCCAAATTTCAACTATTTCGCTAACTCATTATTCGAATTTCTGAAGACCGAAAAAAAAAGATTTTTGCTTGAGCTCTTTTTGTTTTTTTGTTAACAGTTCCAAGTTCAAATGTTCAACAACTAGCCAAAAAAAATCAAAATTTAAGTTTACAAGCTCAGTATTCGCTATATAAGAAATATCATGCAGATCAAACTTCTTGAGTAGAAGGAAATATAGTCTCGATACTTCGACAAGAGGTCTTAGCTTAGTTGTTCAAATGACTATACCTCTAACCAGTCGAGAGACACTACGATAGGTAGAGAACAACAGTTGCTCTCCTAGCGGTGGGGTGGGTAACAAAATGCTTTATATTCCTGATACCTCATTCTAATCCAAAATCCACTGTCCCAGCTTCCATATCTATATATTTTACGGGTGCTGCTCAATTTATCACGGAGGAGGTCTTAGTAAAGGCTTAAAATCATATCTTTTTTGGGGTTGCAGGAATTCACTGATGCAGTCATACTCGAGCATCCTATGAACTTCAGGAAGAATTATTCCAGATTTCTTCTATTTCTCTATATCTAGATTTAACAAGACCAATCAGGAGATCAATGTGCTCAAACTAAAGAAACATAAAAAAACAGTGTTCCCCTTCTATTTTCTCAAAGAACAATATACATTGCAACTATGACCTAGTGGTTAATGAAGTGGTTGAGTGTCCATGAGGTCTCATGTTCGGATCCCAGCAAAGACAAAAACACTAGGTGATTCTTCCTAGCCTTGGTAGATAGAGTTGGATAGAGTTGCCTGCTACGTGTTGCTGGTGGAAGGTGGCAGGTCGAAAGCGCGGTCATAAAAAAATAAAAGAATCTACATTGCAATTAGAGATATTCCTAAATTCAATTACTTCCCAAGACCATTACCAACAATATTCCAAATTTCAACTATTTCGCTAACTCATTATTCGAATTTCTGAAGACCGAAAAAAAAAGATTTTTGCTTGAGCTCTTTTTGTTTTTTTGTTAACAGTTCCAAGTTCAAATGTTCAACAACTAGCCAAAAAAAATCAAAATTTAAGTTTACAAGCTCAGTATTCGCAACTCTAAAACAAACGAACCTTAAATATAACTACATCTTGAATAATTTCTTCTTTTTTTCATTCAGTAGCTAGAATCCGCCATTTTAGGTAGCACAAGTGCAGAATCAGAGGTAGAGAAGGAGAATACCTACAGATTCAGCAGCATCAGAGAGAGGCAAATTGAACAACTTGGAAACCTCATCGAAGGACACAGATTTTGGGTCCGTAATTGGTTTCGGATTCTGAATCGGGTTCGGGTTGGAGCTTGGAGCTGAACCCTGCAGATTACTCATGCTCAATTGGACCCGTGGTTCACTCAAAGACGACATGGATTCTATATTCTAGCTACTTCTACGAGTGTATTTATTCAATAGTAATAACCATAGTAATCGCATTTTTTTTAATTATTATATTCTCAATTTATTAACATTAAGTTAATATTTTTGAAAAGTATATCAAGTAAAGATACAATATTTTCTTAAAAACATATAAAATTCGATTAATTCTTGAAATTGATTTATCACTGCTACGTAAAATGGAACGAAAAAAATAACATGTATTATTTAATTTGAAAATTATGTAAAAAATATTATAAATCTCAATAATTAACAATATTTACGTACCTTGACACAATATGATAATTAATAACTTAAAATATTTAAAAACATATAAAAGTTTAATTGATTCTCTAAATTCTATTTATACATATATTGAGATAAATAACAGATATCGGGGCGGTGCTAGCAAGGACCCGACCCGTTTTCTTCTGATTTTCTGGGTTCTAACTTCTTCTTCTTCTTCTACTTCTACTTGTAGTATCCAAATTCATGCGTTTTTCTCTTTGTTAGAAGGATTCTCGTGGCATTCCTCTGCTATCAAAGTAAGTTTGTTCTTCCTCTTCTTTTTACTGATTTCGTTTCTCAAAATCCTCCATTAAATTTTGCGTAAAGCTTCTTAATTTTACACCTGTTGCAATTCGATAATTTTTATTGTTAAAGACGACCTTTTATCGGCTAGGTATGAAAAAAATGGATTTTTTTTAGCACTGAATATATCTGTATGTTTGAGAGCAAAAATAAACCTTAAGGATGATTTTAGACTCAAAGGTGGAAGAAGAAGGGTATTTATGAGCCTTTTCCGTTTATTTAGAAAGAGAATTTTAATCTTATATATATAGTGTAATTGAGGAAGACAAACCAATTATTTTTGGTCATCCTGTTTGCCTCAATCTTCTCAGTTTTCTTTCTTAAATAACAAGAGTGATACTATAAGGATGTATTTGAGGTTTGGATAAATATAAGGATATCTTTTGTTATAAACTTGTCAAAAGGTAATATCTTTGTACTTCATGTTTGTAACTTTTTGAAACTTGGCAAAATGCGGAGCAAATTATCCTTGGGGTTGTGGTTCTCGTTGCTTTGTATGGTTTCTTCAATAAATTCCTATTGATTTCACCAAAACTGTCATGACTGAGCTAATTTTTGGAAAGAAAAATAACAGTCTTACTATGCTTTTTACATAAATGTCGAAGTTACTATCTTCACAATTTTTCTATTTGAGTTTTTGTTGGTTTTGTAACAGAGTATGGGGATTATAAAAGACGGTTCAGTATCAGGAAGATTACCGACTAATGAGGTCTTTGCTGTTCATTACCCTGCTTACCCTTCTTCAGTGGAACGTGCTGTTGAGACTCTTGGTGGCATTCAAGGTATTGTCAAGGTATTACCATGTCTACATTTTTTTGATTCATACTGTAACTACTTTGTATAACTTGTGCAAATTACTCGCATTGGAATTTGAAAGTTCAGTTCCTAGTCACATTCTGTGCTATTGATGAGTATTGATCTCTTAATTCTCTTTGCTTTGTAAAAACAGTCGAAAAGCAAGTTCATCTAATTTAGTTTTGGAGCAGAATGCTCACTTGTCTAATTAACTACTATTAAGCTCATTCAAGGTTCTGGAGCAATGAGCACTTACCCGAGTGTGCAAGAATGTCCTTTTTCACCTGATGGTGGTGGAAACTTGAAAACATTCCTAACTGTTTTAGCCCAAAATATGTCCGAGCTTCTAGACCAATACTCAGCTGATTTTTAGCCCCAAAAAAATGACCGAGCTTCAAGAAAAATACTCAACTGATTGTACCAATAGTGCATGTCGTAATGGATTCGTTTGAAAGCAAAATTTTAATGAGCAATCCCAAACGAATAGTGCATGTCATAATGGATTCATTCATCTACTGTGCAGCTACCATTTTTTGTTACCTGATAAAAAGAAGTTGAAAATAGATGTAAGAGGTCGTACATTTAATGCTTTAAGAATGTAAACCATGGCAGTGGAAATTTAATCCAAAAGAAGCACTTCATGGATCATCTTGAAGTTTGATGAAGCAATTTGATCCCTTCTTACGTTTACTGGATCACTTAAAATTTAGGACATGAGAACAGTCAACATAAGGCGTCTCTATCTAATCTTTCATTATTAAGCTGCCAAACTCATTTAGAAAGAAAAGAAGAGTCAAACTAGGAAAAAGTAGCATTTAGCATAATTTATTCAGCTACCAGAATTTCTTTTGGGATCTATAATTGCCTCAGAGTGTCAAGTCAATGTAGGCCATTGACTCTTTCGCATAGCATTCAAGAAATTTAGTAACAACAGTGAAGATGCATGTCAACCATTGAGGATTCCACAAAAAGGAAGTGGAAAAAAGGAACAAAAACAGTGTGAGCGATTTTCTAGGCATTGGACTTATTATTTGTTTTGTCTACCTTTAATTTTTAATTTAATAGGTTGGACTTGGTATGATGGACAGTTTGGGAAGAAAAAAATTCAAGAATTTTTGAAGGAAGAAGTAGCTCTTTACAGAATTTTATGATGAAAGGCTTTCTTCTTTTTTATCTTTGGTGTAAAGAACATTTTGTAGAGGAGGCAGTATCCTTACTAGATCTGATAGGTGCTCTGTAACTGTTAGGATTTCATAGTTGGATCTGCTGTCCTTTTTCTCTGTACTTATGGCTGTGGCACTATCTTAGTGCCTTTTTCTTTAATACTCGAGTTACCATTCTCAAAAAAAAAAAAAACTTTCTCCATTCCTCATAAAGCATAGATACCCATAACCCATCTAGCCTTGTCGTATCCTAGATTGCAATTTGTTGAGGAAACCAGAAGTAGTGAATATTTATGGAATAATATTTGTACACAAAGTGGTGATGACGATTGTTGTAAGAAACAAAGGAGAAAAATATTATTGAATTGTGTATCTACATTATTACACTACGACTCTATATAGACACTATATGACAATCCTTTTTCAAGTAGGATTCTATATACTATTCTTGTTCCTGTTCCTGTTCCTATTCTAACACTCCTCCTCAAGCTGGTGCATACAAGTCATAAGTACCGAGCGTGTTATAGATGTAATTAGTCTGAGGATCAATGAGGGACTTGGTGAAGATATGCAAGTTGATCACTCGACTTCACAAATTTTGTAACAATATCTCCTGAGAGTATCTTTTCTATGACAAAGTGACAATCAATCTCAATGTACTTAGTCCTCTCATGAAATACTAGATTTGATGTGATATGAAGGGTCGCTTAATCATCACACACAAGTTCCATCGGATCGGTTTCTTTAAATTTTAGTTTTCTCAGCAATTGTTTGATCAACACTAGCTCAGAAGTTGCTACAGTCATTGCTCGATATTCAACTTCTACACTAGATCAAGCGACCACACTTTGTTTCTTCCTTTTCCAAGACACCAAATTACCTCCTACTAAAACACAATATCCAGATGTAGAGCGTCTCAGAGTGTGATCCTTCCCATTTGTATATCCAATAATATACTCATGGCCTCGATTCTCGATGAGTAGTTCTTTACCTGGAGCTGACTTTATATATTGCAGGGTACGAACAACTGCATCCTAATGACTTATCACAGGGAAAGTCATAAACTAACTTACAACACTCTCAAGAAAAAAAGATGTCGGATCTAGGCACTGTGAGATAATTCAACTTTCCAAATGACCACCTATACCTTCCAAGGTCACTTAGTGGCTCACCCCTTCCTGGCAAGTGGGAAGAGTTTAGCATTGGATCCATAGGAGTGTCAATGGTCTACATCCCATCATTCTTGTCTCCTCAAGTGTCTAAGACATACTTGTGTTGAGAAATAACAATACCTGATCTGGATTGAGCTACCTCAATATCTAAAAAATATTTTAGTCTGCCGAGGTCCTTAGTCTAGAAATGCTAAAAGAGATGGTCGATTTTCTATTGTTTGATATTTTTGGCTTTATAGACATATGGTAAATTTAATGTCAATAGTAGATTCTGATGTTTGCTGACACTCCTTCTAATTCAGGCTCGAACTTCAGAGTCAAATAAGCTGGAGCTCCATTTCCGGCCAGAAGATCCATATTCACACCCTGCTTTCGGGGAGCTTAAGCATAGCAATAACTTCTTGTTGAAAATATCCAAGTGTAAAGTAAGGGATGTCCAATCTGCTGACAGTCCTGTTAATTGTGAACAAGAAAATTCTTTAGCTGCACCGAAGGTAAACGAGTCTAGATGTTTATCTGCTGGTGCTTCAAAAGAAATTGAAATGCTGACACTTACTAATTTGCAGGAGCGTCTTGCAGCTAATATTGTTTCTCATGTTTCTGAAGGTTATCATTTTAACGGTGAGAACTAAATTTTGATGTAGACTACATCTTCTCCAGTTTGTCTTTCTGCTATACTTTGAGTAGTAACTTTCTAAATTCTTGTTTCCTTTTTTCTTTTGCATGCACAATTGTGCTGCTTTCAAAGGAATGGTAGACTATCAGCATGTTCTCGCCGTTCATGCTGATGATGCAAGAAGGAAAAAGAGACAGTGGGCAGAGGTGGAACCTAAATTTGGTCAGCCATTCTCTCATTATTCCTGCAATCTCAAAATGTGGAAATTCTCTGTTCTGATACCTAATTTCTTGAGTTTACTGCTTGTAGAGAAGGGAGGTCTTATGGATGTTGATCAGGAGGATTTGATGATATTACTACCCCCCCTGTTCGCCTCAAAAGATATGCCTGATAATATTGTGTAAGATGCTCTGGCTTGTTAATATCTTCTTTTGGAATTTTAACTTTTAGATATTGTATACATGTACACACTTTCTTGTTTCACCATGGTCTTAGCAAGCACTACTTTTATCGTCTCTGTCTATATCTCTCTCTTTTTGTCTGTCTCTTTCTCTATCTGAGTTGCTGTTAGTGGAAAAATTGCTGCTTTTCTTCTCTTCCTCGTCTATGCACTGTTGTCTCAGATGTTTTACGGACTTCATATGGGTATGTATTTGCTGGGGGCGCAAGTATCTGTTTTGGTTGGTACATTTTTTAGCACGATCCTAGTGTAATTTGAGGATTTGCATGTATTACGCATGACAGTTGATTGAGTTGGAGGCAAATGAAGTGTATGTAACATTAGTTGTCTCACCACAATTGGTTATGTGGTGCAGACCACTTTTCTTGTCTTAGTTAATCATTCTCTTTATGAGAGGTATGTTCCTATTGGAAAATTTTAAACATTTTGTAATTTCAGATTAAAATCTTGTACAACCTTGGGCTCGAAAAGAAAACAAGAGGGACGACACAATTGGGAGGTAATTTCTTTTGTCTGCATGGAAGAATTCTCTCTTATTTAAATTTGTTATTTTCAGTCAAATGTTTTCTGCATTTTTATTTTAATCTTTTCAATCAATGTAACAAGAGCACTGTAGATCCTATGTCATGTTTCCTAGGCAGTAGTACATTTCTTAACAAGGAAAGTCTGTCTTCATAGTTCCATGTTAGAGTAATTCTGGACACTGGATTACCTTTGATGCACTCTCTTATCCCGTGTCTTGAGTTTGTAGGAATATCATTTTTTCTTTTAGTGATATCTAGCTCTAGTTAATGGTCATTACTGATCTGGCGCATGTTGAAAGACCAATAAAAGGTTAAATCCTTCTCCTCTGTATGTTAAATGATCTGCATTCTTAATTTTATTTTTTTGATGAAGTAAAGAGTTGTCACTGAAAAGCATCAGGAAGATGCTATGTGAGAAATACAAAAATTGGTTAGCTCAATGACAGTGAAGTCTAAACCAAAACCAAGGAGCTAACAAAGTCCAAAAACCTGTCAATACTATTTACACTATAGTACCAACAGAACCAAAGAACTAGACATCTTGATTCAGAGAGTGAGTTGGAGTTGAAATCCCATCAAAGCATTTGCGGTCAAACTAAAGAAATTATAAGTATTTTAGAAAGGAACCACAGATGCTTTGATGGGATATGAGTATTTTAGAGGACCTATCCTTACCAATTATCACTCCAAAAAATATTCCTGCAATTTGCCAATTCGGCAGAACTCCTTCTCTTTTGCATTCTTCTGATATACCAAGATTTACCTTGTCTGTGCTACAAGTATTTACTCATGTACTTTATATGTAAGTCACATTAGCTCATGTAACGAAAAAAAATAAAGATTAACTGGAAACAGGTCACGAAAATATACTTGAACTGTATATAAGTTAATTTGATAAATAGAAGAAATATCATTTTCCCCCATAATGCTTGCAAACCTTGGCCAGAAAGCTTCCAACTCTATATATGGATATAATCGTAAGATATTGAAGTAATCCCAAACGTAATACCAACATAGGTAGAACGCCTTAAAAAAACTTAGGTAGAATTATGAAAGAATCTTGATCCTCTTTAAGAACATTTTGGGGACCTCATGAACAATGTATGGATAATCGATTCCACTTATTTCTACTCATTGATCCATTTCTTGCTTCTCTACAAACAACACAAGGGTAGTCAGTCATTTTCACCTTGTTTTGTCTTTTATTCTCTATGTTTTGACTTATTTTCTTGGATCTATTAATTGTTTTTTTTTCCATCTCTTTCTTATTAGTCTTCATATGTGATAAGACCATTATGAATTATTTTGTTCTGCCTTAAGTTATCTTCAATTTCCTTAGCGTTTATAGAGCTGCATGCTTGACATACTCCGTTTTCTTCTACTTGACATACTATATACATACTTCAAATACATATCACACTAGTATCTTACTGATGAATTTTTATTTTCTTTTTCAATGTAGAGGGAGATGGAGCCAAGTCTTGCAATTGATTTTACTATCAAAGATATCCTTAAGTTCTGCAATGCATCTCTGTGTTCTTTGTTTGTAGTTAGACTCTGGTATTTAAATCTACTCCTTTCAATTTGTTTGTAGTTAGACTCTGGAATTTAAATCAACACACATGTATCACTCATTATCTTGCACCATGAATGGAAGTGGTTCTCTCTTTGACACTCTTCATCAATTTTGAAATATGTATCTTGAAGTGAAAGGGTGGAAAGCTTTGAAGACTTGGTAAAATCATGGTGAGATTCATTAACAAATGATGGCTGGGATCACTAGCTCTTTCATTACTGACGCTGCAGCCTGCCAGCCAGTTATTATACTTCTCATCATCCCTGAGGAGAAGTCTGAAGATTATATTATCTTGAAAAAGTGGACAATAGACATCATTATTCAACAAAAATATACATGTAAAACAGTAGTGTCATTCTGCAGCAAGATTGTATTGCAGCTTGTTTTTCTGCTTAACATTCATACAGATTCCAAAGCCAGTGGATTGGGAAAAGTACATTCCTCAGAGCTCAGATCGTTGGAGATGGCAGAAGGCAGTATCTGAATTGTTTGAAGAATGTAAAATATGGCCCAAAGAGTCATTAGCTGAGCGCTTACATGATGGGGGTCTGAAATTTCGAGATAACATGCTAAAAAGGTAGCATTTGCAATTCTTATACAGTCTTCACTTCTATTATATGGATTGAATTATTTAATTATGTCTTGGAAATGAATATTGCTAGTATGAAGTTTTGGTCTATCTCCATAATTTATGCAGGCTTCTTTGTGGAGTAGCATATTACTTTTTGAATGGGCCTTTCCGTAGATTCTGGATAAAAAAAGGTTATGATCCTCGGAAGGATCCTGAATCCCGCATGTAAGAATGTAACAATAATCCTTTCTTATATTTTTTCACTCTTTACTTGTCAAAAAAGTGTTTTCCTTGTGGATCTCACTAAGTGATATGTGTTCACTATTCACTGATAATGCTTTCTGAGTTTTTTTCCCCTCTTTTCCTGATTTATTAGAGGTTGTGTCATATATGTCATCTGAAATGTATCTTTTACTAGCTTGTTCATTGTTCGGTTGTATATCTTATATCCATAAACCTTGGGAAAACTGTAAGTTTTTGCTTGAAGAGATGATATCTGCAGTTGTGAGAGGTTAGGAGGGGGACAGAAATCCTATGACTGCACACAGTTTAGGACTTGAGGTGAAAAAAGTTCAGACATACATCTTGAAACTGACCAGATTTAGAAGTGTGATTTATCCTAGAGATGGAATGCCACTTTCTCCGGTGTTCCCCTCTATCTTTGGCCCTCCCCATTTGTCTTCTTCTTCTTCTGAAATAAAGCTGATTCCTTTTCCTCACAGGTGAGATAAAGAGAGAACTTTATATCTCTTAGCTCTCTGCCATTTTGTAAACCTGTTTTTTTTGTAAGTTTTTTCTCTTGTTAGGAAACTAAGGAAAGGAAGAAATAGTATAGGAAAATGGGGAAGAAAGTAAAGTGATACTTTTTGCTTTCAGTTGCTTTTGTGTGTAAAATAAGAGGGAGAATAGGTTTCTGCCCTTTTATAGCTGTCTTCTCCTTTAATATGTGGGTCCATACAAATATCAACTTTCTCGACTTCATTTTATTATATTCTCTTTGATGAAACAGTTCTCTTCCTTTTTTTTTTTGAACATTGGTAAAGTTGTATTCTTTAGCATTAAGGACATGCTGGCCACCTTCAAAATTTACAGCCCTAAGCGAAATTACAAGCTCCCTATTAATTCTATAATTTGATCTACATCTTCTATGCAAAGTTGTTTACACCAAAAAAGTAAAGATACCAAACAATTCCATTTTACTTTGTGAATGGAATTAGATCTATCTTCAAAACATCTCCCATTTCTTTCCTTCCACACTGACCACCATATGCATGATGGTATTAGCTTCCACCACTTCTTTTGAGTCTTGCTACCCCCTCTTCTGATCCAACATTTAAAAAGATCAGAGGCGTGTTCTGGCATAGACCAGCTACAGCATGTGATGTTGAGAAACAGCTCCCAGATCTGTGCAGTGAATTTGCAATGTAAAAATAGGTGATTGTTTGTTTCCCCAGTCAAATTGCAAATTGCACAGGAAACACCTAGGGACTAGTTGCTTTCCTTTCTTCTGCAGCACTTCTTGAGTTAAGCAGGCTCTTTTGATGACTAACCAAGTGAAGCATTTCACTTTGGTGGGGGTCAGTCCTCTCCAAATACTCTTCCAGTGATGATGGTAGCCTCTAACCCCAACTTGTATGCCTTTCTTGTAAGCACTGTTTACTGTGAATTTGCCATCCTTGTTGTGCTTCCAAATAACTCTATCTGGTGCATTTGTTACTAGATTGATTCCCCCCAATTTTCCCAGGAAAGAAGCCACTCTATCTACTTCCTAGTCATTCAATAGCCTTCTGAAAGATAGGTCCCAG